GTTTTTTTTTTCACGTTTACGATAATTTCTTTATCGATTTCAGTGTGACACTCGAGTAAATGAGAGGTATAAAAATGAACCGAGATTATATTTGAATGAGAGTGATTATGAGAATAGGATAACTAAGAAAAATTTTAAATAATTGAAAGTTACTACCTATACCAACCAGGTGTACCTTCCTTTTCGGTGGCTTACTCATTGGAATTTCATAGTTAAATGTGATTTGTTTGAAGAATTCTATGTTGGGTGGCCTTTCGAGATTTTTCTTATAATATATGTGAGTGAGAACAAAACATATTGGAAGAACTCGTGTTGATTTGCGAGGATAATCTTCATTCTTGGGGTCATGTTGCACGGGATGCACGACAATATTAGGGTCATCAAGTGTCGAATCCAAAAGAGGTCTTCTCTTGCTGGTCACTTTTAACACTACTACACCAATGTTGTAAACATATGTTGTGTATTTTTTTATTTAATGTACCGAACGTTAATGTCTTTTCAATTTAAATCACTCTCGTCTTTTGTTTCCATCCTCGTGTTTCTTCATGCTCCACCTTGACCTAATCGTGCTCTTTCGTGCCATGTGAACTTTACTTCGATAGATATTTATCAGTTGTTTGGCAATCTTCTCGGGTTTATGGGTAATGTACATTTTGGTAAAATGACTATTTTTTTTTTAATTTTTAAAGTCATGTTCGAAACCTCGTCCACTCGGTCACGTTTATTGAACTAAAAAGCAAACGTTGTTTTGATCAAAGAAGATATCATATCTATATATATGTAAGGGCATTATGGTCTTTTTGAGCAATGCAATTTGGAACATTTCTTTCCCTAAGTGTTTAATATTTTGGTAATTTTAGAGAAAAAGTTACATAAAAAAGGTTCCTCTTTCTCCATTATCCTACAAAGTAGTCACGTGGGCCCCACGTGGGACAAAACGGACAGCACATCACACGTGTAATGTGTCTAACCCGCACGTTCAGTTTTGGTCAAAGTAACTCCCTCTTCCGCCAGATCCGGTCAACGGTCAAACACCCAATAAAAATTTAAAAAAATAAAAAAATAAAAATAAAAATCATTTGCTCCATAATTATTTGTACCGTTTTCCCAATCATACCCCTCTCCCCCTTCTACCGGAATAGCCAGTTCTCATTTCGTACGGCTACATTAATAGCCGTCCAATCCAACTCCCCTTCACCGTCCATCTCTCTCTCTCCACACGTGCGTCTCCCCCTTGCCAAGAAGCACCCGTGGTCCCCACGTATCAGAAACCATGTGACCGGCTGAGCTGGTCACCACGTGATTCTGAGATTCACCCCGTCAAAAACGAATCGTTTCGTTAATCAAAAATTAATTAAAAAAATTAAAATTAAAAAGCTGTCTTTGTTGAGTTGGACTACACGTGCGTCGTACCAAAGATCCAAAAATAAAATTTCTTTTATTAAAAAAAAAAAAGCCAAAAGACATATGAGTCCATGCCAACGCAATAAAATAATCATTAACAATATGATTACACAAGGGCAATTTCGGAAACTCCTGAGAAAAAAGTATGATTTTTTAGGATTTTGTCTGGTGGGCATGTTTGGTTGGTGGACTTTTTATTTATTTATTTTTATTTAATGTAAATCAAGAATGAAAGTGCATAAATAATAGCATGCTCCAACTTTTAATAAAGAGTTATTAATTAATAAATAATATTATAAAAAGGGACAATTTGGAGAAAAATACAAGTCAAAATATTTAATTATAATGTTAATATTTATAATCATATCATTGCTTCAAATGATTTCATTTTTTCCCAATCATACTCTATCATAAGATATTAATTCATTTTTTTAAAGTTCCTAGAAAGATTATTTCATGTGTGTTTTAAATTATTAGGAGGTTAGCTTTCTAACTAAATAATTTTTTTAAGTACCAACTTTTCGAAAAAATAAAGAAAGACGAGCAAATGAAAAAACATGCATATTAACGGGAACCCGCTGCTACTGATATGATTATATTTGTGAGATTCTACATCAGTTGGAGGGAGCCGAACACTCCTTACAAGGGTGTGAAAATCCATCCCTAATAAACATGTTTTAAAACATTGAGAAGAAGACTAAAAGGAAAAGTCCAAAGAGGACAATATTAAGCTGTTACAAATGGTATCAAAATCAGACATCGGGCAGTGTGTTACTAAGGACGCTGGACCCCTAAGGCAGTGGATTGTAAGACCCCACACTGATTGTAGAGTGGAACGAAGCATTCCTTATAGGGATGTGGTAACCTCTCTGTAGTAGACGCGTTTAAATACATTAAGAGGAAGCCTAAAATAAAAAACCCAAATATGACAATATTTGCTAATGGTAGATTTAGACTATTATAAATGGTATCAGAGCTAGACATTTGGCAGTGTGCCAACGAGGACACTGGACCCCTAACGAGGTGGATTATGAGATCCCACGTCGGTTGAACGGTAGAGCGAAACATTGATTATAAGGGTGTGGAAACTCTATTCATCGTAGACGCGTTTAAAACCTTAAGGGTCTCATAAGGGAAACCCCAAAAAGAACAATATCTACTAGTGACGAGTTTGAGCTGTTACAACATTCCATCATTTCTCTTTAATATTAAGTTAGTCTCAAGATATCAATCATAGCAGTATTAGTATGACCTAAGAACTTGACCAACCCGAACGACTTGACCCAAACCATAAAGGTTAGGTTGAGCTAGATTTTTTTTTTTTTTTTTTGTATGAGTTTGGGTCGTATGCAATTTGACATGTTTTTAGACCCAAAAATAAGTTTACAACCCAACCTAACCCTATCTACTTTTAAGATTATTACGAATATTTGATCTTTGTAACCAGTATTGATGACGCGGTGTGACTTGTGAATATTTGATATTTCAACTCTATAAGATTTTTTGTTATTAAAAAAACCCGACAACCCAACCTAGCTCAACCCGAAAAATAGTGGGTTGAATTGAGCTAGGTTGTGATTTATATTTGGATTGCTCGGGTTACCAACCCAACCACAATCAAAATTTTAGGTAGATCCAAAATAGATCTCTAACCTAACCCGTATATACTTCTAATAAATTAATTTGACGATATCGAACGAGGATAAAGATAGTGATGGAGATTTGAAATCTAATTTATAATAATGAGATAAAATTATATAAACACGAACAAACAAACACGAGAAGTATTACCTTAAATGTAAAGACAAGCAAATCAAAACCATGATAGGAGGAAGCAAAATAAGGAAAGAAAATTTGAATTATTAATTTTTGTTTCATTAAAAAAAAAAAAACATGAAATATAAACGTGGTCTACTTGCATTATTATATGGAGATTCTATTCTAATCGACACCACATGTTTTTCTCTCTCTTAAATTTATCTTTCTAACCGCACGTGCTCTCCAACTGCTCGTGTGAATAGATTTGGGCCTCTGGTCCGCCCACCATCTTTCCAAGGCCCAATGGGCTTGCCCTAGTCTTCCCACTTTCAGATATTGGGCCAATTCCAGTTTTGAACTACCGAGACTTGTTTCATAGCTTTCAACTAAGCGGTAGACCTGATGTGTGATGTCCCACATTGGTTGGAGAGGAGAACAAACCACAATTTATAAGGGTGTGGAAACCTTTCCTAGTAAACGCGTTTTAAATGCTTGAGTGGAAGCCCAAAAGGGAAAGCCCAAAAAGGATATTGTTAGCGTTGGGTGACCTCGTTTGTCGAACACATGCCGCTCACGACCTGACGTTCTCACGTGATGGAAACATAGAGACAAACGTTAAGCTACATGACCGACTATGGCGTTATAATTGCACATTATCTAGGAGATGTGCTACGAATGAATTGTAACCATAGACTTTTTTTTTTTTTTTTTTTTTTTTTTTTTTTTTTTTTTTTTTTTTTTTTTTTTTTTTTTTTTTTTTTTTTTTTTTTTTTT